GGGACCATATCAGGTCATCAGTGGTAAAATAGATGATGACAGTATTATGGTCCAGATCCTGTCCCGTGCAGCGCCTGCCTGGACCTCTGTCCAACTCACACCCACCCACCAAGCCCCCAGAGGACATGTTGTGGAGTCCCCGCTGTCGTCTGATGGGGGCATGAAAAGGTTGCATAAGTATCTCATATTTCTGTCAGCCCCTTTTGACACGACTGTAGACCACAACAAGATGGGAATAGTCCCAGAAAAGACAAAGCTGACAGCCTGGGGTCTGCAGGCTCTGATAAGAAACTCAGTCGTGTCATGTGGGGTGATGTTTGGATTTCAGACCACAGATGGAGCTTCAGTCTACGTAAACAGGCCAAGTAAAAATATATATTTTTAAAAACAATACGAAAACATACTCCTATATTTCTGTAAGTGGTGTGCTAAGAGAGCTGTATGAGTTTATTTTTGGCTACTCTGAAGAACACAAATCAATGTCAGAGTTAACCTAAAACATGTGGAACAGGTAAGATGTTAATTGTTCAGATGTTTTCCTCACTTGATCAAAGTTTTAAAGTGTCACAAAGGAGGGTTGGAGGAGAAATCTATTTTAAAATAGATTTTTGTATTAAAATAACTTTTATTTTTTTAAATAAAGCATAAAATGCTTAAATCTGAATAATGGCACGACCATGGCAGAGTGGTTAGAGGAGTCATCCTGGAACTGGAAGGTCACCGGTTCGATCCCCAGTCCAGCTGTCTCATTTGTTATGTCCTTGGGCAAGACTCCACCCCTAACGCCTCAGATGTGTGTCCCATCAGTGTATGAATGCGATTGGCACTGATTGGTCTCCATAGCTCATTGTACATGTTAGTAAGTAAAGTTGAATTTATATAGCAACTTTCATAGAAATAGATTCACAAGTTGGTGTACAATCAGAGGCAAATCAAAATATATACAATCTCTACAATAAGCTTTGTAGAGACCTAATAGAGTGCTGTGTGAATGGSTAAATGAGGACACAGACTGCAGTGTAAAGAACTTTGAGTGTCCTGGATGGATAGAAAAGCGCTATACAAGTACAGTCTATTTCTCATATGTATGTATGTATATATATATGTGTGTGTGTGTGTGTGTGTGTATTAGGGGTGCAACAATACTGTACATGTACCCGTATCGAACAGTACAGATTTTAAAAATTTACTTAATCAACTTGTCTTCTGAAGATGCTCTGTGTTAAAGGATCAGTGGATTTGTGTTCGACTACTCCACCTAGGCTGCATTTTTTAGCACAGATCCACTGATAAACTTGCTGTTTCAGCGACATTAAATTTAAAAACTGTACTTTTGAGGTTAAACAAATGTTCATAATTAATATAAATAAATTACAATTTAAAAGGGGCATGGAAATTTCTCATTTTTGTATCGAAAAAATATCGAACCGTGAGACTAAAATATCGAACCGAACCGAACCGCACCATGAATTTCCTGTATCGTTGCACCCATAATATGTGTGTGTGTGAG